ATTTTTGTCCTGTTTTGATTATGGCATTATATTTGCCATGTCTTTTTCTTATTGAGAATCTTACTACTAGTGAAAACTCAACATTTTTTATATCAGAGGTAGTGTGGTTATTTTANTTATATATATATATATATATATATATATATATATATAAAATGGTGTATATGTTTGTGTGTCTGTGTGTATGAGAATGTTATCAGCCAGAACTGTGAGTAAAGGAATTTAAACTTTGCAGGGGTAGGGGCACTAGATAATAAAATAATAAAAAGTTATGAAAGTTTATGTGATTTAAGTTTATTTATATTATTAATATATTTTTTTAATCCTCACCCGCGGACATGTTTTCATTGATTTTAGGGAGAGAGAGACATCGATGTGAGAGAAACATCTATCAGTTAGTACCCCGACTAGGAATTGAACCCACAACCTTTTGGTGTACTGGACAATGCTCCAACCAACTGAGCCACACTGGCCAGGGCAAGTTCTTTTATATTATTTTGACTAGAAAGATTTGAAGGGTTCTGTCATGTTGCATGATTGAGTAAAATATTGATATAACCTAAGAAATAAAGTGCATGGACACAAATAGAATAAGGAAGTGAAAGTCGCATCATAAAGAAAATGATGAAACTGTTATTGCAGCACTCTTCTGAGAAGGCCTGATTTCAGTTGGTTGCTTTGCCAGTGGGTATCATTGGTCATGCGGGAGACCTGTCCTTAACACCAGAAGTTTTTTTATAATTTTCAAACTTTGAAACAAAGTATTGTTACTAATTTTGTACCATAATTTTTTTACTTGAAAGATGTAACATTTATCAATCTATTACTTTAGAAAGAAATCTAATAATAATTTTAAAAATTAATAACTACAATAATTACCATCTCTATAGCATACAGTAAGTACTGTATGCTTACTCTCTACCTCTGTTCTAAGTACTTTATGCTTATTCTCATTTAATTTCTACTAACAATCTTCTGAAAGTAAGTACTATTAGTGTTACTGGAGAAAAGTATGAATGGTTTTTCTTCGTTGCTAGTGGGAATGGGGTTTTTGGGTACTGCTGGAATAAGCATTTCTGGAAGACCCCACAGGAGGATGAGGTGTGGTAGAAAGTTTTATTTTCATGGAATTACATCCCTCAATTTCCAAAGTCCCATTCCCCTTAACCCAGTCCTGGAAGTCGTGCAGCTGGGGATTAAGCAGAGTTAAAAAGCAAAGCCAGTTTCCAAAGTTTTCATTCGATGGTGGAGCTGGGTCCAGTTTGCATTAGGCTAATTGCAGTCCATTAGTCCATTGTGGGGGTCACTTGGCTGTGAGCCATGTGGGCGAATGCAGAAGCACAGGAACATGAGAGCCCCCGAGAAAACAGGAGTGTAAGAAAACAAGAGTGCAAGACCAAACAAGTGGGCTAAGAGAGCAAACTCCACTGTTTCCACACCTTCTCTTGCCAATGACTTGTTCCCAGGTGTGACTCACAGACAAGTACCTTCCCTATGTCACCTAAACTTTACTGGGCATGCCTATAATATTTGTCCTTTCCTATTATTAATAACTGGGTTAAATTACAAGAGTATCATTAGAATTCTAAATTGATAGGTCTTATCTGCTATTGAGTGGCAGAGCTGGGATTTGAACCTAGGCAATATTTTTTCACAGGTCATGCTCTTAACTGTCTGCTTCACTGCCTCCAGATGTGATTATAATACCAAGAATAATGAGTTAGATTTTACTTTCATGGTTTTTTATAATATGAAATTGCTTATTCTTTACAGCTTCAAATATACTGCCCCCTCAAGTTTCTGTTTAATATTTCCTAGTGTTAAATATGTTAATTTCTTTCTCAAGGAAGAAGCCTCTCATTTTGCAATTGTACACTATTTCACCATAGAATCTAACAACTATGACAACTGAGCCAGAGTTTACCATCATCCAATAATTTCCATTGGTAAAGTTCCAGTGAAAATGATTAGCTTAAAATAAAAATTTATAAACCATCTAGGGAAAACAGGGCACAATATAAGAGAATCAGAAAAATCAGACCTGCAGATAGTTCACATCTTGGAGTTATCAGGTATAATGTATGTACATATATTTAATATGTTCATTGAAACCTTAAATATGAGGAAAAGAGCAAACACTTTGTAAAAGAATCCGAAGTTCTAGAAATGAAAATGTAGAGTAATTGAAATTAAAATTTAAGAGATAGATAAAAGCAAATAGACCCCATTGAAGAAAAATTGATATAATGAAAGATAAATCTGAAGAAATCCAGAATGCAACACAGGGAGACAACATAAAAAGAGGTTAATAAAAGGGAAATTTTTGGAGAAAACACAGAACGCCTTCAAAAGAGTATTAGGTTTCAAAAACAGTAATGGAAGTAGAAGACCACAAAATGATATACTCAGTGAAAATAAATGGAACAACTATGACTCATTGTAGTTCAAGTTAGAGTTCTATAGCTAGCAAAAATATCTTTTGAGAACAAAGGCTAGCCCGGCCGGGCGTGGCTCAGAGGTTGAGCGTCGACCTGGGATCCACGCGATCAGGGTTCGATTCCCGGTCAGGGCACATGCCCAGGTTGTGGGCTTGATCGATGACTCCCTCATCATTGACGTTTCTATCTCTCTCTCTCTCTCCTTCTCCTTTCCTCTCTCTCAGATCAATAAAGATATATTTTAAAAAAAAAAAGAACAAGGGCTAAATAAACACATGCTCAAATAAAATCTGGAAGTTCTCTAGCAGATCACTTTAAATATAAGGAAAATGGTCATAGAAACTGTGAAATTCATGAATGAATGATAAAGACAGTGGTAAGTGGTTATAACTACCATTTTGTATTTAAGAGGTTCCTTAGTTATTTGGGGCAACACCTCTAATACTGTATAATACAGCATTTATTTTTTTGATAATTCTGTGCCTTAGTTTTCCTTCTCTTGTTTAGTCTCTGCCATGCATTTCCTCTCACACCAGTGTTAATACCAACCTAAGCAAACGTGCTCTCCTCTAAACCTTTTGGTAAATGATCTAAGAATTCCAATATGGAATTTCATTTTTCTTGTCCTAGAGTAGAATATCAGTGTAACATTCAGCATAATATGCAGACACCTTTGAGAGATGCATGAACTGCACAGCTATGAAAAAAATGGTACATTTGAATCCTGAGCCCTCTTCTGAAGATAATGGCATGACCCTTCTACAGTGAAGCTCTAGACAAGGGTTCCAGGGAGATTTTACTGGGTTTATTTGAACTCTCCACTTTTAAAATTTCTCCTGTGAAAAGAAACTGTTCTTTCTGAAATGTAGATTTGGAGTCTGAACACAAATGTATATTTTGCCAAAATTGTACGTTTACCTAATGTTTTTGGGTAGCAATGTCTTAGTTTTAGAAATTGGTTTATTAGTAGGTGTATTCATTACTTGGGTTATGATAGTTATAGACCAAGAAATTAGAATACAGTGTCTTGGTGTGTGAAATTATATATATAGGTGTATGAGAGAGAGAGACAGGAACTGGATGTAGAGAGAACAATGATAAAATTTAAAATGGATAGGATTGGGCCCTGGCCGGTATAGTTCAGTGTTTGGGCACCTGCCCACAGACTAAGGGTTCTGAGGTTGGATTCCGGCCAGGGGCACGTGCCTCAGTTACAGGCTCGTCCCTGGCCCTGGTCAGGGTGCATGTGGGAGGCAACCAGTCCATGTGTCTCTCTTACATTGATTCCCTCCCTCCCTGCCTCCCTCTCTCCCTCCCTCTCTCTCTCTGAAAAGTGGTGGAAAAGGTATCCTCGGGTGAGGATTTAAAAAAAAGAATAGGATTGGGTAATTGGTACCCATGGGTGATGTGTATATACTGTTACCAGGATAGTGTAGTGGTTAGAGTTTTCGTTCTGAAGTCAGTCGGCCTGGATTTAAATTCTGGCATTTCCAGTTGCTAGCCAGGCAGTCTCAAACAGGATGTTTAACCTCTGACTCACTTTCCTCATCTGTAAAATTGGGTTAATAATAGTGCCCATATTATAGGGCTTAATTGATGGTTACTTGAGATATAGTATGTAGTGTTTAGCACAATGGCTAGCTCCCAAATTATTCACTACTCCTATTGATAATTGAATGCTCTATGACTACATCTACTAGTAGGTACCAGGATCCAAATGACTGCTCTACATCTAAAACTGACCAGTTTTCATAATTCTTGGAATAACCTGCCAGCTATATTCTAAGTAAAACTTTGGAGGTACTTCTCTTATTTCAATTATATAAGTATAAGTAGATTGACTAAACTAATGGAAAACATAGACTTTTTTTCACTGAATTCAGAAATGAGGCACCTTTATGAGTCACTAAACAAATTAAATAGCACATTAGTTCTATCACTTTCCTCTTTGGTCAGTTATTCTCCCATGGTATTTTGAATTGAAGTGTGTTTAAAAAACAAAAAAGAAGTCATTTGAGAAAATAGAAATAAAAACAGTTTAAAAATGGTCTTTTTATCTCTTTGAAAGTACAGTAACACTTCAGATTTTATTAAGGGAATGTCAGCCTTTCAGGGTCAGTACATACTTGATGAGATTATATGGAATGTAGATGTAGAAGCACTGGAATTTACAAAAGAAATAACTTATAGTAAATATAATTTTATCAATAATGAATTTAGTGAATAAGAAATGTTATCTACAAAGATAACAAATTTGTTATCTACAAATATAATACTACAAAGTATTATATAAGCTAAAAATATGAGAAATGGTTTCTGTTTTTATAATAACTATTTTAGACTTGAGGAAAGGGCTTATTTGGAATTATTATTTAAGCAGTATTTTAAATTTATTTTCTTCATTGAGCAATATGTATGACTATTATTACAGTAAAAACATAGATTCTTAAAATGCATAGATTATAAAGTCCTATAATTCAAAGAAATAGTCTCTTCCTTTTTAATAACCATTACTAATTTGGCAGTTACAGTGGGCCAGGGACTTTAATAAGGACTCAAAATACATTATTTAATTTTGTTTATATCACTCATACATATGGTACTGTATTGCTGCATTTTATTTACAGCCATATCAAATAATATGAAATAAGTTCTTTTCATATTGTAAATTTTAGTGTCTTCATTTTACAAATACTGTGCTTAAATATTATGTGGAATAATTGCAAATTTTCTCTGATTTGGGGATATTTACATATGTATTTTATTTTTCCATGAGCCTAAGAATCTTAAGTATTACATTGATTGATAATTGTTTCCTTTGTTGCAGAACTATAAGAGTAAATGGGTCCAATTATTGGAATGACGCCAGAAAAGAGAGCTGAAACTCCAGGAGCTGAAAAGTTTGCAGGATTAAGCCAGATTTACAAAATGGGAAGCTTGCCTGAAGCTATTGATGCTGCCAGGCCAAAGGCCACTCTAATGGACAGTGAATCAGCAGATGATGAACTCACAAACCTGAACTGGCTTCATGAAAGTACTAATCTTCTAACAAACTTCAGCTTTGGAAGTGAGGGTCTTCCAATTGTTAGTCCCTTATATGACATAGAGGGAGATGATGTGCCATTGTTAGGACCATCTTGCTACCAGAACCCAGAAAAAAAATCAGCAACTTCAAAGCCCCCATACTCTTTTAGTCTTCTCATTTATATGGCTATAGAACACTCTCCAAATAAATGTCTGCCTGTCAAAGAAATTTATAGCTGGATTCTGGACCGCTTCCCATATTTTGCTACTGCACCAACAGGCTGGAAGAATTCTGTTCGACATAATCTGTCCCTGAATAAATGTTTTCAGAAAGTGGAAAGAAGCCATGGCAAGGTCAGTGTTATGAACATTGCTATATTTGGGGAGGTTGGGGAGAGTTAACACAGAGATCTTAAAATAATGGGGAAATCAAAGGAAGACAAAAATAGCCAAGTCAGATTACTTCAGCTTGATGTTAATTATATTCATCATTTGCTTTCAGTCTACCATAGGTACATAAATTAGTGTTTTTAATGTTCCAATTTTCTATTATTAGTTTCTATAGTGTTTTTATCACTGTGTCAGTATATTATTCTTATTTATTCAGTCTGGCAACCTTGACCTTATAATTAGAATGTAGACGTTTACATTAATGCAATTGATATGGTTGGATTTAAATCTATTACGATGTTATTTGTTTTCTTTTTGCTGTTTTTACTCCCTTTTTACCACTTTCGTGCCTTCTTTTGGATTGAGTATTTTTTATGATTCAATTTCAGTATATATATCTTTATCACAGTCTACCTTCAAATAATATTATACCATTTCATTTATTATCTGGACTCTTACAGATAAAGTTGACAAATCCTGATGTCCTATCTGGATCAATTTTTTTTTCCCTGGAGAAGTTTATTTAACATTTCTTGTAGTTCAAGTTTGCTAGCAATGAAATATTTTTTCAACTGTTTTGTGTAGGAAGGGTATAGAATTTTAGGTTCACAGGGGTTTTTTTTTAAGTACAGTAGTCCCCTCCCCCCCCCATCTGCTAGGGTATGTCCCGAGACTTCCAGTGGATGCAGATAGTATGGAACCCTACATATATACTGTTTTTTCCTATATATGCATACTTATGATTAAGTTTAATTTGTAAATTAGGCACAGTAATAGATTAACAATAACTGATAATAAAATAGAACAATTGTAACAATATATTGTAAAAAAGTTATGTGAGTAATAGCCTGTCATTTTCTCTTTCAAAATATCTTATTGTACTGTAATCACCCTTATTGTTGTGATGCTGTGAGATGATGAAATGTCTGATGTCTGTGGGATTAGTTGAAATTAGATGAATGATCTAGGCATTGTGACTTAGCACTAGAATACTGTTGACCTTCTGACCATATATCAGAGGAGGATCATCTGCTTAAAGTAACCCTGTATCATTGAACCATGACAATCTTTGTGGTTGGATGTCAAGAGCAGATGTGTTGATGGTTGAGGAAATTGAATATTTTTGCACTGCAGTTTATTGCAAGTAACTGAAACCACAGAAAGCAAAACCACAGATAAGGGAGAACTACTGTATTTTAAAGATGTCACTCTCTTGTCTTTTGGCTTGCATAGTTTCTAATGAGAAGTCTGCTGATATTCTTATGTTTGTTTCTCTATTGTGTTTCTTTTTTAACTGTCTTTAAGATTTTTTTTCTTTATCACTACTTTTCAGTAGTTTGACTATGATGTCCTTAGTGGTGTTTTTCTTTATTTTTATCCTGCTTTGGTTTTTCAGAGGTTCTTGGTTCTGTGGTTTGTTGTCTTACATTAAATTTAGAAAAATTTTGCTCATTATCTCTTCAAATATTTCTTTTGGCTCACTTTCTACTTTTGGGACTCCAAGTAAAAATATGTTAGACCATTTGCTCTTGTCTCACCTAAGGCGCTCTGCCTCTTTTCCTATTTTTACTCCCTTTATTTTAGTTTGGATAATTTCTATGGGTCTTTATACAGGTTTACTCTTTCCTCTGTTGTGTTCATTCTGCTGATAAGCCTGATAAAGGATTAATCATATTTTTTATTTCTAGCATTTGTATTTGCCTTTAAAAAATACTCCCCATCTCTCTGCTAAAATTTCCCACTAGATCCATAAACATATTAATCATAGTTGTGGTATCTGTCTGAGAATTTCAGTATCTGGTCCCTTTCTGGATCTGGTTTTGTTGACTGTTTTATCTCCTGTTTGTTGTGTGTGTTTTATAATTCTGGATTGAATGTCAGTGTAAGAGAATGGTGAGACTAAGGTAAATGATATTTCTACCCAGAAATAGACATGCCTCTACTTCTGTCAGGTTGTTAGTGTGAACAGGTATTGGTCAATCTAGTTAATAATTGAAGTGGGATTGGGTTTTGTGGTTGTCTAGTTTCCTTCAGCATACCACAGGCTTCAAATCCCTACAGAGATGGACTGCCAATACTTTGTGCTTAGTGTGAGGGCTGGAGTATCAGATGATTTTTCTCAGTGTTTCTACTTCACATTCATCTTTCAGTTTGTGCCGCATTTGGGGGCAGGAAGGGAGTTTGGATATTTCTCTTCACACTCTTGCCCCTCCCATAGCAATAGACTGTTATTACTTATTACTTCGTGCAAGGCTTTTGTGTAAGGTGGGTTTTTCTTCTGTTCCAGTTTTAGTCTTAAACAGGCTCTATATGCCTGTGGCTCACAAGTAGGGGTTTGCATGCCTACATCAGGAGCATACAGTCTCTCCCATCTACTCAGAGTGGAGTCTAGAGCTGCATTCATCAGTAGCCAATCATCTGCATATAGCTAGTGGCTGGCATATTGGACAGCATAGGTATAGGATATTTCTATCATTGTACATAGTCCTACTGGACAGCACTGTTCCAGTGTTCAGGCCAGTGTCCTGCTTATTCCCATTATGGTAGATAAACTGGCTAATATCTGTGGGATGTCTTAGGTATAAGTGAGTGACCATTTCCTTTCTCAGTGTAGCAGATTTGTACAATGTGTTATTGGAGGATCTGGGCACAAGCAGATTTTCTGCCATTCTCCTAATGACACATGGCACATTGCTTAGTGTGAGTGAAGTATGAGGATAGCTTGATTTTGTACATCTTTTCTAGTAGCAGCCATCCTTTGCCTGGGATTGAGATGGGTAGGGTATTTTGTCTCTCTCTCAATAGCAGACAACTTTTGCCTCATATTGGAACTTTGTCCAGAGTGTAGGAAGGTTGTGTGTCTGTCCCTCAGGGAGAGCTGATCTCACCTTATGCTCATTCAGGGCCTGTAGCATGGTTCTCTACCAAATAAGTGCAAAAGCCTTCGAGTTCCAAAATGCGTAATAGTAAATGAAAGAATACATATTTCCTGTTTCCATTGCACAAAAGATTTATCTTGTTCTATGCAAATTTAGTTTAAAACAATTATTAACTTCTAAAAGCTGTTTATTATTTGTGTTCTGTCATCTAAGCACAGTAATGAAGAGGCAAAGTTTTTAAGTGAATTAATTAAAAATAAGTTCCTTTTTTCTGTAGACTCTGAAACAGATTAGCAAATGCATAGTTTTATCTCTTGTTACTCATAGTTGTGAACAGACCCAGTGAAAGGAAGTACTGCTGTAGTAACATAAACCAGACTGTTATTTGGAGACCTTATTCAAGATACTTAACTCCCCAGTACTGCAAGTTTTCAGTGTCACTTCTTCTAATTTGCTATTTCAAGGAAATAGCAATTCTACCATTATCAAAACAATTTGCAATTCTCTCACAATAGAATTTGAAAGGTAGACTTGAAATAAATTGTTTCTAGGAGTGTAATCTCAGGAATACCAAGATAGAACATGGCTAGAATTATTAAAATAATTGCCTTAGTAAATATATGAAAAATAATATGTGCATACCTTTTCTCTATGAAACTGAAGTGGTTTGGGGGCAAAGGATGCTAACATTTTATAATTTTGTTTCCCTATCAAAACGTTTATCATTTGGGCCAAGTGACTGAATATATATCTAACTTAAGAAGTTCCATCATTCAATCTCAAAGTACATTTGTAAAACTTAACTTCCTTTGGGAAAAAACCCCAACATTTCAAATACTTGTTTAGCATAGTTCATGTGGCATATTGCCACTGAAGGCTAGAAAAGAGTTTTACCTAATATGTGGTATATTTCTTTCTATATTACAGTGTGATATGACATCCATGGTTTTTCTTTTCTTATGTATTTAAGTTGCTAGGGTGTTAAAAACTGCCTTACATTCAATTATCATACTTTTCCTCAGACAAGAGCTTTTTTCCCTTCTAAATGTAGTTTATCCCTTGTTCTTTACTACCTAACTTTTGTCTCTTATTCAGGATTAATTGACTTTTCTTCTTCATGTTAATTTTTAAAACTCCCTAAAATTCTTCAGGTTTTTGTGGGTTTTTTTAAATTTTTATTTATTGATTTGAGAGAGAGGGGAAGGGAGAGAGAAACATCAGTTTGTTGCTTCACCTATTCCTGCATTTATTGGTTGACTCCTGCATGTGCTCTGATCCAGGATCAAACCGACAACCTTACTCCAACCGAGCTACCCAGCCAGGGCCCTTCAGTTATTTCATTTGACTAGCTCAACTAGTGTGTGTAGGATATTGATGGTTTTTTAAATACTCTCTTGAATTTATTAATTTTATTCTTTTCCTAATTTTTAGTTTATATATTTATCAATTTTCTTTTTACATGATTTTATATATTTACATTATAAAATATATAACTTTCTTTTTCCCTCATAGATGTGACAAAGGCTTGTTTAAATAGTTCATTTCTTTAGGAATGAATGTGTTTGCCCAGCCCACATGGCTCAGTGGTTGAGTGTCGACCTATGAACCAGACAGTCACAGTTCAATTCCGGGTCAGGGCACATTTCCAGGTTGTGGGCTTGGTCCCCAGTGGGGGGGCAGTGCAGGAAACAGCTGATCAGTAACTCTCATTATTGATGTTTCTATCTATCTCCCTCTCCCTTTCTCTCTGAAATCAATAAAAACATATTTTTTAAAAAAAGAATGAAATGTGTCTGAGAATATAAATTTGCTTTTAAGTAGAGCTTTGGCCACATCTGCTTAGTTTTGATATAACAGTGTTTCTGTATCTGATAATCTTTAATTGTAGTTTAGATAGCTGTTTAATCCGAGAGTGTTTATAAATTTCCAAGTGGTCAGAGAACTTTGTTAATTTTTATTTTCTTTTTGTATTAGAGTCTAAAATTGTGATCTATAAAAGGAACTAATTTTTCTTCATGGCCTAATCAATGTTTGTAGTTTTTCCCCCCATTAATATTTGGAAAGTATATTCTACAAGAGTTCACTAAATACATCAGTTTTTCTCAAAGGTATTCCATAGAACACTAACCCCTTAAATGTTACCTAGGAGAAAGAGGTTCTGTGTCACATAACTTTGGGAAACCACATAAAGCAGGTTTAATTATAGCAGGACTGTTTAGATTTCTTAATCTTCTAATATGTAGTGTGACTTAAGAAGGACAGAGGTAAAATATGCCATGTTTTCAAACCTATTCAAAGGAATTATCTCATAGCCTGGCCTTTTCCCTCTATTTTAGATAATATTAGTGAGGTTCTTGAGGTATCTTGTTTACTTACCTTCTTGGTAAGTTGTTCCTTCATATTATGGGAACTGTGGATCAGATAGGCCTTTCTTTTAGGCACCTCCCATTTGTAATTCAGTAGGCACTTTTATTTATAGTTTCTCTAGTTTCCAGTAATCTTACAAATTCCATTATTTTTAGATTCTGTTAATTATTTTAGTGGCATCTGGACTTGTGTGCTCATTGCCACATTATCCAGAAGTCCCTCAAATGGTGAAACTTAACCATCTTGAGGGAGTGAATGATGCTGCTTCTTCTTCATACACACATACACACACACATAAGCATGTGTATATATATATTTTTAAGCCTCACTCAGGGATATATTTAGAGAGAGAAAGAGTGAGAGAAACATCCATCATTTGCCTCCCATGCCTGCCCCAACCTGGGTCACACCTGCAGTGTAGGTATGCGCCCTGACTGAGAATTGAACCTGTCACCTTTTGGTGCACGGGACGATGCAACAACAAACTGAGGCACCCAGCCAGGGCTTTTATATTTTTTTACAAGTCTTTTCCAAGCCTCAGTCACTGACTCTGAGACTTTTGTCATGCTTTTCATTAAATTGTTTGCTGTTAATGCCATTAAAAAATAAAAATTATTCTTTGATGCCTCACTTAATACCATATTCCCTAACAGTTTTGGGGAAATGATGCTGCATAGAAAGTTTCCTTTTCTTTTTGATTTTTCTATAACAATAATAATAATGGCTAACATTTATTGACATTTTAACATGGGGAGAGCCACTTTGTACAGCCCTCCATGCTGTTCACTGCATTACTTGGGGTTATATCATTTTCAGAGTAAAGTTCTGGGTTATTAATTCTTCTGTGTTTTATTCTAGGTTAATGGGAAAGGTTCCTTATGGTGTGTTGATCCAGAATATAAACCCAGCCTTATGCAAGCACTGAAGAAGCAACCTCTCCCCTCGGCATTAACCTCTCCAGAAAGGTACAGGATCTTCCATATAAGTGTCAGTGGTGATTTATATGATTTTCTTATCTGAGATGGAGAAGCTCAACAAAGTTGTAGGGGTTGGGAGCTTTTTTTATTGTATAGAGAATTATTTATGGATATGGCATTAGCCTAAGGCAGTTTTACTTACAGTCTAACTTGTGTTATTAGGAAACAGGATATTGAATAGGTAAAAACATAAATTCTGGAAAATGTAGTCAATACTGAATATATTATAACTAAACTCTAAAGAAAGTTATATGATTTCAGGTACAAAAGGTTAAATCATTTTAATTGTTTGCAATACTAATGCTGACCTAACAATGTGGAAATTAAAAGTATATTTAAAAATTTTTAAATACAATGATTAGCAGTTTTTCATTGTAACATTTTGCTTTATTTTTGCTTGTAAATACAGTTGTTATGTATTTCCTTGCCTTTTGTTTTCAAACTCAGTGACTCCTATTGGTCTTATGCTTTCCCGTTTTAAGTCACATCTGAAAATGATACGACCTCTTTAAATCTGATTTTGTTTCCTTTTCCTAGAGAAGCCTTCAGAATCTTTTTTTTTTTTTTAATATATCTTTATTGATTTTAGAGAGAGGAAAGGAGAGAGAGAGACAGCAACATCAATGATGAGAGAGTCATTGATCGAGCCCACAACCTGGGCATGTGCCCTGACCGGGAATCAAACCTCGATCGCCTGGATCCTAGGCCGACGCTCAACCACTGAGCCACGCCCGGCCGGGCCAGAATATTTTTTGAATTCTATCATGTACATTCATTTAAGTTAAAAATGCCCGATTTTGTCAAGATGCTTTTAAGAGTTGTCTATAATAGTTAACTTGATTTTTGAAAAAATGTAAACCTTTTTAATAAAATAATAAATGGAAATTTTCAAATATAAACAAAAGTAGGTAGAAAGTTATAAGGAACTCCCAGCTATAGCAATTATCACCATTTCATATACTGGTTAGTATCTTGAAATATTAGATAATTTTTAGAAGTAGCTGAAATAAAAAGTTAGTACAGCTAAAGCTGAAATTTATATATAAATAAATTTATTTAAAAATATATATATATATACACACACACACACTCTCTCTTAGAGATTTTAAGGTTGTTTACCATATTAGTAGATAAAAGGATCATTGTAACAAGAACTACTGAGTGGTTTATTCTTATGAATGAAATCTGAAAAAGAAATTATCAGATTATATCCTCATTGTTTAGATGTTGATATCTTTATTAATTAATGTTGGTGCTTATGTTCCAGTTAAAAAAAGATAATAATTTAGAAACTAATGGTAAGTTCTATGATGGTCACTTACGTGTTTTATTTAGCTGTGCTATTTTTTTATTAAAGATTAAATGGGAGAATTGGCACAATTTTTTGTATACCATCAAAAACACACTTCATTATATGTTTAAAGGTAAATAAAGATGATTTTATGGCTTAAAAACTGGTAGATAAAACAAAATGACAGCATAAAGGTTATAATCTTTGACATTAAAACATTACCCTAATGTTTTTAGAAACATTTTTCTCCTTTTCATTATTTGACAAAATGGTAGTTCCATCTGACATGCCTTTGTGTGGCCCTTTCATATCATAATTGGTAATTCGGAGGAAGAGAACTGTGAATAGGAAACAGACTTTTAATTTAGTAAGAAAAACAGATTTCTTATACTATCTTAAACTCCAAAAAACAGAAGTAGTTTTTCCCCCAAAAATATTTTAATCTTTGGAATTAAAAAAAAATTGCTGGTCTCTCTTCATGAATATAGAAGTTTAATGTGATAATATTTACTAATAAAATTAGGAACTTATCTGTTTTTGCTTCATTACCATACAGTGCTCCTTAAATATTTGTTTTTATAAACACTTTCATTTTTGTTGTAATACCTGTAGTGATTTAATATCAAACTTAAGCATCCAGTACAACACCAAACAGTAACTATTATGTATTGCCTATTGTTCCAAGCATTTCAAATACATTGTTCTTATTGAATTAGTAGAGCAAACCCTGTGTGGGAGGTTTAATTATTCCTGTTTTACAGATGAAGAAACTAAGAGATTAATTATTTTGCCTAAGAATGTCCAATAGTTGTGATTTAATCTTGGATCTTATGCTCGTTCTGCTTTGGCAGACTCTTCCTAAACTGAGTAGTATTAAACAAAGAAAGCAAGGTAAAAATAGTTTGTTTTTTTGTTTCTGTTTTTGTTTTTTTTAGAAATTATTTGTGTTTGTGACTAAGTTCTGAAAAAAGTGAAAGAAAAATTTTTATAAGCACATTTGTCTTATCTCTATTTTTCAGTGGCTCTTTATCACCTCACTACTTAGGCTCTGTACTCAAGCAGAATCAGGTGCAAACCCTCAAAGGTATGTGTAAGATCAGTTTTTCAAATCATTAAAAACTCAGGTAAAATACTAGGATTAAAAATTTTTTCTAATTATAAAATAATTATGTTTGTTGTAGAAAATTTGGAAAATAAAATCACTTCTAAAGGAGGAATTAAAACTTACTCTTTATTCTACTGTTAACATTTTGATATCATTCCTTTGGTCCTTTTTATGCTTTATACATGAGTAGATTTGTTTCGTGCATGCACAGACACACACACACACAGACATATCTTTTCTTCAGATACTGGGATCATACTATATACACTATTTTGTATCCCATTTTCACTTCCTTTTATGTGTATTTTCCCTTGAAAATAGAAAAACATTTCTCAGTAATATAATCAGTAGAGAGTTACCTTTTCAAGTATGTCTTAGACTAGAGTTGAAGGTTGGCAATATATTGCCCATGGAACATATCTGGCCTGTCACCTGTTTTTGTATGGCCTGTAAATTAGGGATGGTTTTACACTTATAAGTGGTTCTGGCTTAACGTAAGTTAAGTATCTATTTTTCTATTACCTGATGGTTAAATGTACTTTTTCTTTACATTTATGTATTGTTGAAACTTCCATTTTTCTTTTTATTACCTCATTAATTTCTGACCCTTATTCTTTCAAGCTCGGATCATATACACATTTTGAGAACATTTTCTTTGTGAATTCTGGTGGTTATTTAGAATCTTGTATTGCTCTTGTTCCATTCCATCTAAATTCTGCTTCTTCCTTTGGGGAACAGACACTTTCATAAGTTTCTCCTGCTAGTTTCAATCATCCTTCTTTTATAATAGTGTGTAGGTACTTCTCTTTCATTTAATGATTTATACATATTATGCATCATCTCCCCAGTGCTACTAACATCTTACTTCCCCTTCATCTCTGTACTCATAAGTCTTAGGCCTATTCTCCGGGTAATAAGTAACTTGGTGGGGAGGGTGGTTGGTATTCTGGGGTAAAACAAAGGCAGGTCTGTCCTAGAATAGAATATAAAGTTCTTGTGGGTTTTAAGAGAAAAACATAAGACCACAGAAACTTAAGAAAATGTATATTTAAATCAGGTTGCTTAGGGCATTTTCATAGAATTCTGAGGAGATTTGCTTTTTTTCCTGTCCTGATACTATTTTTAGGGAAAAGTTTTAAAAATACAACTAAATGATTAAACAATTATTTATTCTACAAGTAATTGCTGAGTTCTTACATAGTGCCAGGCACTGTAGTGGGTGCTTAGGGATACGCAGAGGTAAGAGACCCAGGTTCAGATCTCAGAATACAGTTTAATTGAAGGAGGTTGACTAGAATTATGCATAGTACACTAAGGGAAAAGGGAGTGAATGGCAAATTAAGCTTAGAGGTAAGTCAGGAAAGGCTTCTTAGAGAAGAGTGATGGTTGAGCTGGGCTAAAAAGTTTGGGTACTTAACCTTGGGTAGAGGTTTGGTAGAGTGCAGTTGCTTGGAACTGCAGACTGATGAGAAGGGCTGAAGCCTACGAGTATAGAAGAGGACCAGGTAGCCTTGGTCTGATGGCTGTAGATGTGATCATTTAGCATGAACAAGACAAATGAAGAAGGAGTTTAAGCAGGCATTAGCCAAATGAAGAACTTAGTTAACGTGAATTTGAACTTCTTCCTGTAACTATAACATTAGTTAGCATTAAGTTCCTTCCTACGGTGCTTTGCATGCATTTTCATTTAATCCTTATAACTCTTTGAGGTATTGTTGCTTTCTTTTACAAATAAGGAAACAAGTTTGGAGAAATTTACTAACTTTCCTAAGGTCACATAACTAGTAAATGGTATAGAAGGAACTCTGATTTCAGAGCCTACACTCCTACCAGATATGAAACATTGGGGGAGCTGCTGAAGGGGTTTAAAGAGTGAAGTTGACATTATCAGTTTTGTAAAGATTACTTAGGTGTCACTGTTGGGCTCCAGTGTTAGAATCTAATATTAGGTTTATCTATCACTTCATGAAAACATCTTTCTAATCATTATATTAAAACTACATTTAGACACATAAGAGTAAAAGAAGTTAGGCTTAGGAACTTCAGAAACCAGTATCAGCCAAAGTGGGTGCAGCAGTTTATTGATAGCAGGGGTGGGGAACATGCAGCCTTTTTCGGCCCTTGAAATCATTTGGTCTGGCCCTGCCAAGGCAACCGCAGGTGGGACACAAAATTCAATAAATCTAGGAGCTTTTTTCATAGCTAATTTTTAAGTTGATAATTTTGTATGGCCTGTGAATGATGTTATAAATATCCAAATGGCCCCTTGGCAGAAAAAAGGTTCCCCACCCCTGGTTTAAAGTATAGTTGTTTTGCTGTAGCTGGCATGGCTCAGTTGGTTGAACTTCATCCCATGCACCTCAACGTCACCAGTTCAATTCCCGGTCAGCACACATGCCCTGGTTTTGAGCTCAATCCCTAGTAGGGGGCGTGCAGGAGGGAGCCGATCCATGGTTCTCTCTAATTGATGGTTCTCCTTACTCTCTCCCTCTCCCCTCTTCCCTTTCTCTAAAATCAATAAAAACAAAATAAAATTTTTTAAAATAATAAAAAGTATAGTTGTCTCTTTTGTTCACCTTAAAATGACTAATTTTATGTGCTAGCATCTATGTTATAGTATTGTATAACAGGTAGCAGGAGGCACAGGAATCTCATACTAAGGTAGTAAAACAAAACCTTTTTTGTCAATGTTGGTGTGCTGTGCATTTGTAGTAAATTCACCAGTGAACAAAAAAGCAAACAAAAATGGAACTCACATTCTAGTTAGTAGATTTTAGTTAAACATAAGCACTAGTATACTATAGCAGATATAAAATTTATATAGTTAATGATAATGTTAGAGGCTAAGTGCAAATCTAAATTCAATTTAAGGTTGCAAATTAGTATAATTTGTATTTTCATTGAAATGAAAGTAAAGCCATGGTCCGGGCAGCTTGAAGTATTGGTGATTTATTGAAATTGCTTTCCTAAAGAATCTTTAAAGAATCAGAAGAGACAGCTTCTCCATTTGGATGCTCTGTAAATGTGTATGTTAGTTTTGATGGTAACATAAGTAAGTAAAAGATAAGTAAGTATAAGATAAGTAAATCTTCTTATACTTATTGCTAAGCTTATACCCATTTAAATTCTGCCTCTATGCTTCTCATATCATTCCTCAAGCAAATGAACTGAGAATCAGATAACAGAAACTTGTTGGTTTATCTTATAACCCTCACCTTCATATGGCTAAAATTGATGTCTTTTTGATTTTTTCTCAACTTTTAATTTCCCTGCAACAAGGCTAAGGAAATATGCAAGTTAACACTATTGACAGTAATTTATTTGAACCAGTCATTTAATTGGTAGTATGTTTTGAACTCTAATCAGAACTGTAAATGCTAAAAAGGGAAATAATATGACTGAACTAAGCTGTTTTTTTAAATCACTATTTGGATCACTTTCGTGGTTGTGATGACAAATGACTTTTAGCTAGAAGTGAATTATTTGCTTAATCCGAGTAGTGTCAGAAAATACATACAAAAGACTAATAAAAACAAAATTTTTGTTCTTCATGAACTGGATATGTTAGATAATATAGCTAATAGTATGTGTTATAAAAACAGAGCTACCTTTAAAATAGTGTTAAGTACTTATCAATGAAAAAACATTATAAGGTGTTTTTCATTGTAACAATAAACATGTCTTCAGTTTAATTTTAATACCAAGACAGATTGGGTACTATAAATAAAAATTGTAGCCTTGGCCAGGTGGCTCAGTTGACGGTTGGAGCCTCATCTTATACACCAAAAAGATGGCAGGTTCAATTCCTAGTCAGGGCACATACCTAGGCTATGGGTTCAATCCCAAGGTGGGGCACGTACGAGAGGCAACCCATGGATGCATCGCTCTCACGTAACCGTTTTTCTCTCTCTCCCTCCCCGTTCCCCTCTCTCTAAAAAGCAATAAAAACATATCCTTGGGTAAGGATTAAAAAAAAATTGTTGTAAAGTTTGCACTGGGAGTTTTTGATCCAAGAAGTTCAAGATTGTATCTTAGACAAATCATTGATAATCAGGTGGGTTATGGGTTATTTCTCTAATGTATATTTTTTAACGGTGAAGTTAAACTTTTAATCAGAGTTAGCGTTAATTGGCAAGGCATTGTGGGAAGCATACTTAAAAATGTTCTAAACCAAACAAATCAGATGTAGATAAAATTCTTTTACAAATAAATTTTTTGTTTCTATAAAAGTTAATTTTATGGGGAGAGTCCAAATTAATTAGGCTATAATAAATTTTATACAAGACATAAATGTATTTAAGGAATACATCTGTCATTCTACTGTTACAGAAACAGTACCTCATTTTGTTATCACTTTAAATATTTGAAAACTAAGAAAAGAAAGGGTGTTCATGCAGCTTACTTATACTGCCAGGATAAGCCTGTTATCAGTTTTCTCTAGTTTTAGGTATAGTATTGAGAAATATGACCCCTTGAAGTGTAATGGAAGCTTACTAAAAGAAGTCAAGTTGGAGATATACTAAATTTTAATAAGGTTTTATATGTTACATTTATAAGATTATAAATTTTTTGAAATTATTTCCTTATTATAATGAATTTCAGTATTAGATTTGCTTCCTCCCACCACCTCCTTTATATATATATATATAAAATTTCATGGAACAGGAAAATCTCTGTTACTGCTTTTGCATAATGCCATGCATGGTTGTGCCCTGCATAAGGACACCTGGCTAAGGAAAGAGTGGGATCTAAACTCCAGCCCACATTCCAGTCTTCAAGCTGTGCGCCTTGATACAGGGAAGCATTCATCTGGAGGCAGAATTGCCTTTTTTCCAGTTCACACTGAGATGCAATATGGGCTAGTGGCTGCACCCTTTTCACTTCAAAGACATGTTAGACTACTGACCTCTATCAAAGTTGTAGTCGGGTCTCATTCTAAAAGACAGGACTAAGAGAGTTCTTCGTTTTGCTAGCCTCTTGGCTATGACCTGTGGGCATCATTGATGGGCATTTTTTTTACTTGCTGTTCTTTCTGCCTAAATGTTTTACCTTTAGATATCCACATGGCTTCAGTCTCTGATCTTCCCGAGGTCTTTGCTCAACTATTACTCTCTCCTCTTCCCTAACCTCTGTATTAAAAATTGTCACCACTTTTCCCAGCATCTCCCTTTCCTCTTAATTTTTCTCTCTAGTGCTTATGACTCTCTGGTATACTGCATTTTAATTATTTCTTTGTGTTTTGAGAGGTTAGGGATTTTCCTGTTTTGTTTTCTGCTGTATTCTCACAGCCTGGAATGACGCCAGGCTCATAACAGGACACTCGATTTATTGAATGAATAACAGAATAAAGAATTTCCAGTATATTCTGTAATTTTCTGCAGAATTTCTTATTAAGCATCAAGGGATGATGATGGAGTAAAAATTGAAGGCCTGGGTTCTGAAGGTAGACTACTGAGGTTTAAATCCTACCTCTCATTCCTACAGACTCTTCTGTGTCTCTTTTCTCATCTTTAAGGTGGAAATACTAAAAAAAAACCCATATCATAAAGTTGTGAGGGTTAGATGAGTTAATAATACTTAAAATATGCAAACACCATTGAAAGTACTCAATGTTAGTTAGTAAATTGGTGATACTCAGCTTACTCTAAGGAAAAGAGGGCACAGATGTAATATACTTACTATTTATTTATTTATTTTTTATATAGCTTTATTGACTTCAGAGAGAGGAAAGGAGAGGGAGAGAGAGAGAGAGAGAGAGAGAGAGAAACATCAATGATGAGAGAGTCATTGATCGAGCCCGCAACCCGGGCATGTGCCCTGACCGGGACTCGAACCCCAATTGCCTGGATCCTAGGTTGATGGTCAACCGCTGAGCCACGCCCGGCCGGGCTATACTTACTCTTTACACATTTATTAAGGACCTACTATTGTTCCCAGGCATTATGGAAGACAGAAGATGAGATAATGGTTCCTCCCCTAAAGAAGCTGACAGTCTAATTGGAAAGACATTCATGTAGAGACTCTGTTTCATGAGGTCACCTTTTATTTCAGGGAAAAGAGCTCTAATAATAATGTGTTCCCTCATAACAACCATCTTCTGATTTACTTAAGCTTGTTTATTAAAATCAATAACAAAAATTTCCTGCCTTTACAGAATTTACAGTCAAGTTGGGGGAAAAAACAAATCAGTATCTTCATGACTTTATTATTTAAAATAACTTTATAATTAGATAATGCAAGTAAAATGGAAAACTTTGGGATAATAAAAATTTTTTAGCTTTGAGATAGAAATGGGAGGTTTCATGTCTGAGTCTTACTTTAAACTTATAATCTAAAAATTTTAAATATTTTCTAACTTTTCACATTTTAGGTTATACCATTTCACTTTTATTCAATTACAATTGTTCAGACTAATAAATCACTAAGATGGAGAGAACCTTTCAGTATAAAAATAGAGCGAAATAACCTTATCTGGAGTAGAACCTTTTGATTTTACCAGTCGTTTAAATCCCATTTTTCTTATGGAATATTCATAATTATGTTTGACCTCTTGAGTATTATATAAATCTATAGTACTTATAGGCTTATATATAATTATGACTAAAGACATTAGTACTGATATTTTTGTGCCTACAATAATTATTTAGCTCTTGGAGATTCACATGATCTAGACTGACCAGTTACATTTATTTTTATTTCCTATAACTAGCATGTAATTAATGCAGTACTTTATAACTGCAGATATGCATAGACAAGGATATTTAAATGCTAAAAAGGTAAAAATGTTATAAAAAGTAATAATGCCTTACTGTACATTCTTAGATAATTTAGTCTGTTTAAGGAGGACAAACCTTATGAAGTGAAGCTCAGGTTTTTATTTTCATTGTGAATAAGTAGAGACCTTTTATTATTTCTAGTACCTCTCAGTCCTCCTTTATACAATTCTGTTCACAAACTGTTCATAATTTTAAGTGAACGAAAGCAGATTGCAAAATATGTGCCGTGTTTTAATTTTTTTTCTTTTTAAAAAAATGTTACTGAATTTATTGGGGTGATTGGTTAATAAAACTATATAGGTTTCAGGTCACAGTTCTATAATACTTCATCTGAATGTTGTATTGTGTGTTCACCACCCCAAGTCAAGTTTCCTTCTATCACCATTCTTTTTTTTAATTAGAAGAGTATGCACCAAAATCTTAATGTTTGTTTCCTTTGGGTGCATGCAAATACTTATGATAAAAAACATTAACATTGTCACTCTTTTCCTTTTTCAGAATCTGATATTGATGCTGCCACTGCAATGATGCTTTTAAATACTTCTATAGAACAAGGAATTTTAGAATGTAAGTAATCATGCTTTTCTTTTTAAAATAAATTTTTGTGAGTGCCTTTTTAAATATAATTTAGAATGCAAGATATTGAAATGTTATAGCAAATTATTCTCTCCAGTTAAGTTGTGTTTTCATCTGAATAATTTAGTTTCTCTTTACTATATTTCCATTTCTTTAGTGAGCAATTGAGAGATTGAGGTTAATGCTATGATAGATCATGTTACAGTGATCAAGAACTGAAGAAATAAATAGCATATTTAGAAATTAAGCTTGAAGATTTAAAACTAAAAATGAAAGCTATAAATAAAGTATAGGAAAGTATAATTACAACCTTGGGAATAGGAAAAGCTTTCTTTAAATATGGCTACCATCAATAAATCAACAAACAACAAGTGCTGGCAAGGATGTGGAGAAGAGGGAACCCTGGTACGTTGCTGGTGGGAATGCAGGCTGGTGCAGCCACTGTGGAAAACCGTATGTAGTTTCCTCACAAAATTTAAAATGGAACTGCTGTTTGACCCAACAATCCCACTTTAAGGAATATATCCTAAGAAACTCAAAACACCAATCAGAAAGAATATATGCACCCCGATGTTCATAGTAACGTTATTTACAATAGCTAAGATCTGGAAACAGCCCAAGTGCCTATCAGATTAGTGGATAAAAAAAGCTGTGGGACATTTACACCATGGAATACTATGCAGCTGTAAAAAAGAAGGATCTTTTACCCTTTGCAACAGCATGGATAGACCTGGAGAGCATTATGCTAAGTGAAATGCGCCAGTCCGAGAAAGACAAATATCACATGATCTCACTTATTTGTGGAATCTAGTGAACAAAATAAACTGATGAACAAAATAGGTCCAGAGGATTGGATGCATGGAAAAGGCTGACCCATCTCAGAGGAGATGGGTGTGGGGGGGATGGGAAGAGATTAACCAAAGATTTATATGCATATATGCATAGCCTATGGACATAGACAATAGTGTAGTGAAGGCCTGGGGTGAGGCAGGGGCTGGATGGAACGGGGAAGGGGCGGAAAATAGGGGACACCTGTAATACTGTCAACAACAAAAAATAATAAAAGATACAAAGTACAAAATCCATGAAAGAAAAGATGGGTAAGTTTAATTAAACATCAAAAATTTAGAGTTCTGACAACAAAAAAATATCTTTAAGAAAAGTAACACACAAGTAAAACACTGGGAGAACATTTTTTTACTATATAAAAGAAAGGATTAATACCGAGTGTATGTGTTGAAAAGGATTCTACAGGTAAGAAATAAGAAACCAGTTCAACAGAAAAGCCAGCAAAATATATGAATAATGGGTCCTGAAGAAAAAAACATGGACAGCACACATTTGATATGATATTCAACGTCTCTAGAAATCAAGGAAGTGCAATATGAAACAATACTGAGATGCTTTTTTTGCCCATGAAATTAGGAAAAATTGAAATGATTTATAATATTAAGTGTTTAGTATGGGAACTATATATTGTCATACACTGCAGGATAAAAATTGGTACAACAATTTTGGAGGGCAATTTGGAAATGCCAATTGTAACTTTATATGTGTATATCCTTTTACTTAATAATTCCATATTTTGGTATTTCTCCTAGAAAATACTTGCATATATGTGAGAAAAGGCATCTAGAAGGATTTTCATTGCAGTGTTGTTTGTAGCAGTGAAAAATTGTAATGGTACATTCAGTGTAGTGATGATACACATATTGAGGCATTCTGTGCAAGCAGTTCAAAATAATTATATTTTCCCTGGAAAGGTCAAGACATATCATTAAGTGGCTTTAAAATATTTCAGATGAAAACCCACAGAAAATATGATCTGTATTTTAAAACAAGAAGAAGAACCTACAAAACATTTTTAATCCACAGCACTTACTATTCAGGAATGATATAGTTGTTTTAAATGTCCTGTTCTCGCAATCAAATGCATTTGACCTATTGGAAGTTTTATTTTCCACAGGTGAGAAGCCTCTTTCTCTTAAAACAGCAATGCAGAAAAAAAGGAGTTATGGCAATGCATTTAATCATCCCAGTGCTATGCGATTACAAGAGAGTGATTCTTTAGCCACCAGCATTGATCCAAAAGAAGACCACAATTACAGTGCAAATAGCTTGGCAGCACAGCGTTGTGCATCCAGGTCTAGCGTGTCTTCCCTGTCTTCTGTGGATGAGGTATATGAATTTATCCCAAAGAGTAGTCATGTGGGAAGTGATGGCAGTGAAGGATTTCACAGTGAAGAAGATACAGATGTTGATTATGAAGATGATCCTCTTGGAGACAGTGGCTACGTATCACAGGTCTGTGCAGATAATCCTGCAAAGGGGCAGCCAGGCAAAAAGATGCGAAAACAGTCATGTCAAGAAATTGATGAGGAGCTCAAAGAGGCAGCTGGATCTCTGCTCCACCTTGCTGGAATTCGTACATGTCTGGGGTCCCTAATAAGTACTGCAAAGACACAAAGTCAAAAGCAGCGGAAAAAGTAGAACTACCTATTAGTGTGTGAAATTATTTTAAAGTGTGGCAATACTCTTCTACTTAATTCTTTACAAGGGATATCAAAGCCATATGGACTTATTTTTGTTTTAGGGTTGGGGAGGGATGCTAATTACTTGTTTATTTCAAAACATTTTTTTTGTTTGGTTGGTTTTAATTTTTATTAAATAATTGCAGTTAGGATCATACCCAACCATAAATATGATGTGAAGTCCTAAAAGCATAATTTTTGTGATGTGTCTCCAATGTTTTGAAATTTTTATATAAGAAAATCCGTAGCTTCTGTCTTAAACTTGTAGGATAAATTTTGATTCTCTTAATAGGTCAAAAATGTAATAATTGGCAACTCTATCTTCTTTTTCAATCTGTAATTAACTGCTGATCTAGCTAAAAATTATGCTGATGTCTTTCTCACATACTCCCCTCCTGACACATGCAGTCCAGTAGGATATTTGGATTTTTATTTTGTCTTAATTTTTGTTTTCAGTTTTTGTTGTTGAAGCATGACAAAGTTGAATATAAATTGGAAAAGACCCTAGGTGTCTAGAAAATTCCTTTTGATTACACAGGCAGAGAGTACAGCAAAGATTTGTAAGATTTAGAAAAGGCCATTTTGTGGTATAATTTTATCTAAGAGCACTCCAGTTCCTATTATAATATTATCTTCGAAATATTTTACTTCCCAGCTACTGCATAGCATTTACTGATTTATTCTTTCCCAGAGTGCTTTGCAACCATTGTTTAAATATTAGCCACTAGCTGTCTTTGTTGAATAGAAACTATCCATTTAGAGGAGATAGCCATAGAGTGTGTTATGGAGTTAACATCCATTTTGACACACTTTTTGCAATAAGAGAATCTTTTCATTTGCTTGTACTGCATTCTGAGAATCTTGTAGTAGGAATGGAGTGTAATCTAGGACAGATATTTTGAATATTATTACTTATGTCATCATAAATAAAGGTAGATCATTTATGAAAAAAACTTCTGTCCAAGCTTTGTATGAATTAAATTTGTATGTGTACCCAATTAAATTAAAAAGGATATAACAAAACTATAGAGACAGAACTATACCTTTATGGATCTCAAAGTTTATATAAAATTAAATCTTATACAACATACCCTTTTGAGGGAGCAGTATAATACCTATTATGTGCCATTAATCCATGCTGAAAGATTTTATATTACGGTTCCAAATGTGTGTTGACTGAGGCATTTTAAGTATTTGAACAAATCTGCTTGTATTAGATATTTTTTCATATCATTTGTATAGTTTGACAATATTATTCAGAAGGTATAAGGGATACTAATAAAACTAAACTTATTCATTATATATATTTTTTTACAATTGCAGAAGCAACTTTCCAACATCCTGTTTCTTAGACAATGATCTTGTTTTCATTTTCTGATAATTTCATATATACACACATACATATATATGAATATATGTATATACATGCACACACATACAGGTTTATGATTTTGATTTGTTACTTTCAGCTGTTTCTGTGGCTATAAAGCATTTTTTTAATTTTTGTTTTTAAGAGACAAATATTTTAACTTGTAAATTTTATTAGGGCAAAACTTATGTTCTGTTTCTATGTTAATTGTAATTGAACCTGGATAGCAACATTAACAGAATCGGTGCTGTTGAAATTTGGTAATTTTTAATTTGCTAATGAAAAATAATCCTTCAGTATGTAGGATAAGGTATTTGGATTTTTCTTCATATATGTCACATTTACTACAGAAAGTGGCTAACCCAAGTTGACACCTTTCATTGTAGACAGTGAATATAACACCAAAACTTCCTTTACCACAGTATAAAATAGTACACAGATTCCAAGTCATCATTTTAGTAACAGTATTTTTTAAATATTTACCATGGCCCTCTGGGTAGACCTTAGTAACAATGTTTCAGTGACCTGGTTCCAGCTTATTTTGTTCTACTGAAATTCTGTACCAAAAATGTTCTCTCTGGTTCTTATCCATTAATTAGATAATTATTCTTTGTAAGTAAAGGAAAGTGGTATAAGATAACAAGGGGGAGAATTGTTCCCAGTTCTAATAGGGGTCTTCAAAATTGTTTTGTCTTAATATAAATAACAATAATTCTTTAAACTTGATTTTCTCTCCCTCTTTATGTACTTACTCTTCACACAGATTTGAAAGTTGAAGTTACATTTATCACTAGTAAGGGCAATAAACATGTTTGCACTAAAAACTAACAAAAGTTACACAATATTTTACACTTAATTCTTGTACAGAATTCAGTGCCTAACTTTCCATTTGCTGATTTACCAACAGTTATTTTAAAGGGGGAAGAACCCTTATAATTATGGTCCCCCCATTATTACTTCCATAGAATTATGATCCCATTTCTCAGGTGTATTGAAATAAAAACATGGCTTAATAACCACTCAGTTAAGGAAAGTCGAAGTCCTGTGGACTGGAAATTGTATTTCCAATAATATATCACCAACAAAATTTACTGTAATAAAAACAACAACCCTGGAGAAGTAAATATTTTCCAATGTATTTTAAAGCTGATTTAAGCTAACTTATAATTTGCCTTATATCAATATAAATTGTTACAACTAATTCCAGTTTATAAATAGATCCCTAGTAAAAGTTTTGCCTCAACACAATCTTCATCTTTCACATCCCAAATAGAATCAGTGTTTCTTGAATTCTGTTTTTCAAATTTGTTTGTGCAATATATTACTAAATTAGTTAATATTTTTTTTATTTTCAAAGTCAGAAAAAGAAAACATTACTCGTATTCATGGAATAGTTAATTATTGGTGGATCACCTCCTTTTTTCCACCTTTGAGCCTTTCCTGTTGTCCTTATAGCCAGCATGACTTCTTAGGTTCTTTGTATATAGTAAAGTTTAGAATATATATATTTTTTCTCTTGCTACTTTCTGAGACATTAGGTAAAGGGTTCATACTAGATGGTCAGTTAAACAATGTTAGCATGAATTCAAAGCTAGAGAAAGTGTTAAAGAGGGAATATGTGTGTCATGGTAGACCAGGAGGCCTTTCCCAGCAATTTAAGCAACAGATGTGAATACTTCACAAATCTGTAAAGACTATCGTCTTAAATACTATAGTAACTTAACCTTTTGTGAAGAACATAGCATTTAAATAACAACTTTGAGGCTTTCTGGTTTACATATATTTTGTAGTTTTTGTTTGAAACGTGTAAGCTTTGATTTAAAGTTTACTTCAATATATTAAATGATGTGGTCAAAATATTTATTGAAAAAGTAGAGTATTTTAATGTTATACCTGCCATTTTTTTCTTAAAGCAAATTTTTTTTTTGCATCTAACTGCCAGTGCCATTGTCAAAACTTATTTTTAAAGTGTTGTACATTTCTTATTAAACTAAGTGCTTAATTTTAAAGTATTATGTTGCCATCATATAGTGTATAAAAATGTATAATTGCCAATTCATTGTAACTTATTTATTTTTAAAGTGTAAGAATGCTCTTTGATTCAAGAAATTTGAATAATACTATTTCCTTATCATCTCTTCTAATGTAGCATAAAAATTGCCCTGAGTTTGAGTTTTAACTGCCAGTAGATGACCAGTCCAAGTGAACCCCTTCTCAGTTGCCAGTCTTTGCTGATACTAAAAACAACTTAACAAATGTTTAGTTTTTGTATCTAATCTCTGATTATTAAAATGTTTATAAAGTTTATTTTTACCAAAGAGATGCAATTCATTATGATAAAGTATTGCAGAATAAACCTTGTTTTATAACATTTTTGTGCTTTCTTTGTTCTTTTGGGGTGGGTAGTGTAGATGTAGGTGACTCATACTCCTATATGCACACACTTTCCACTTTAGTGTTACAAAGTTGGAATTATATACATATAAAAAATAAAATTTCAATTTCAAAATTTTTAAGTATTGTTTTTCCTGGTTTTTACATGTCATCTTAATCATCAAAAGCTAAAGTAGTGTTAAGTTATTCTCTTCCTAAAGTTGAACTTCTTTTCTAATTCACATATACATATATGAGATATTTTGAAATACAACTAGAAAAATGGAATAGAATATGAAATTATTAAGATTATTTTAAAATACCAGTAGTAACATATGTTTAAAAATTGAGGCATCCATTGTAAAATGGAATCATCTACAACAAACATCTTGAGTTTTATTTCCCCCCTCATTTCCCATTGAAGTTCTGCACTGATCATTTAAATGGTGTTATTTACAATAGAGCTGTTTAAGCCCAGTGAGACAGCTATCTTGATTTTAAACTATCACCACCCTCTCTGAGCCCTCCTTTCCAGGCTTCAGTCATTTGATGCCTCCTTTCAATGATACAGTCACTTAAAAATCAGAGCCATCTGGTGGGTGGTGAGCACACAATACAAATACAGATGATTATTCTAGAACTGCACAGCTGAGACTTGTATAATATTAACCAATGTCACCCCAATAAATTAAAAATTTTTTTAATCCTCACCCAAGGATATGTGGGGTTTTTTTGTTTGGTTGGTTTTTTCTTGAGAGGGAGGGGTAGGGAGAGAGAAACATTGATTGGTTGCCTCCCATTGCAACCCAACTGGGACCGAAGCCGAAGCCTAGATATGCGCCCTGATCTGGAATAAAACCTGAGACCCAGAATGGAAACAAGATGGCGCGTAGGTCACAGCTGCACCGCTGCCTCCCGCAACCACATCAAAATTACAGCTAAAGTACAGAACCACCGTCGCTCAGAGCCTCCTGAGATCCGGCTGAACAGAAGCCCCACAACCAGGGAGCTGAAGCAGCACCGAGAGCGGTAGGAGGGGCGGAGACGCGGGCAGATCGGGGCTGAATCCCGGAGACGGCCGCGGGCCCACACCCGGTGCCGCGGGTTAAACCCGGGAGGGAATCTCGGCGGTGGGGGTTTCCCGGAGGAGCGAGGGGTCCCAGCCCCACAGCAGGCCCCCAGCCCAGGGCTCCAGGGCCAGGAAGAGACGTCCCCACACCTTCGGGCTGAGAAAACCAGCCGGGACTGTGGCCCAGAGTCACGGAGGCTGCGGGAGCCCCAGGCTTTCTTCTTAAAGGGCCCGCGCACGGACTCACTCGGACGCGCTCCCTCTGAGCCCAGCGCCGGGCAGCAGCTGGAAAGGGCCTGGGACAATTGGGGGGGAACTAACCTGCCTCACGTCGGGGCGAGAGGTGGAGGGGCGGCTTCCTCCCAGGCAGAAGGGCTGGCGGAGGCCATGGCTCCTTTGGTGGGTCCTCCCCGCACAGACGGCAGGCAGGCGCCATGTTTGAATCGCCAGCACCTGACTGGCACCGTTGGCCCCGCCCCGTCCCACCTGCAGCTCATCCAGGCCATTTCCAGGGGCTTTTCTGTGCAAGTGGCCTCTCGAGCCTCATGCTTAGGACTTTCCTAAAATCTCTCAAACAAGCAGCAGCGGGCCCCATACGGCTTGATAAGCGGCCCCAGGCCTGGCACTAGCGGCAGCTGCATTGGCTCATAGCTTGGCCTCTCCTGGGCACCTCCAAGCCCAGCACAAGCAGCAGCCAACTACGGTTTGCTGTGTAGCTCATGCTGGGTGGCCCTGGGCAAGGCACTGGCACAGGCTGACTTTGCACCTCCCGGGAGGCCCCAGAGACAGTGCACCTGGCGGTCAGACTTGACCACGCTGGATTACAACCGTACCACAGGCACAAGTGACACACTCAAGGGAAGCACTTGGTGAACACCAAAGCTCCACTGAAGTAAATCCTGCTCCATAGGGGCGTCTCCAGCACAGCAGCTCTCTGGCTGTAGTTGCAGCTGGTCCTCACAGCTGATTGGCCAGGGGGTCAATTCCTCCCAGTGGCTCGAACATCAACCAAGGCTCAACTATAACAGAACAGTGCACACAGCCCACACAGGGGAGCACCTAGAAGGCCCAGCTCAGGTGACTGGGGAGGCTGAGCCACTGGACCCTAAAGGACACCTACTACACAAAGCCACTCTACTAATTCCAGGAGACATAGCAGCTCTACCTAATACATAGAAACAAACACCAGGAAGCAGCCAAAATGCGGGGCAAAGAAACATGCCACAAAGAAAAGAACAGAAGAAATCTCTAGATAAGGAACTAAATGAAATAGAACCAAGCAAGCTAACAGATTCAGAGTTCAGAATTTTGTTTATAAGGATACTCAAGCATATTATTACAAAACCAACTGAGAAAATCGACATAATAAAGTACCAATTTGAAAGAACTAATAAAGTACCAATTTGAAAAGTCTACATGAACTGAAATGAAGAAAAATTTACAGGGAATCAACAGTAGAGTAGATGATGTTGAGAATCAAATCAGCAATTTGGAACATGAGCAAACAACACCCAACCAGAAGAGCAAAATGAAAAAAGAATCCAGAAATATGAAGATAGTATAAGGAGCCTTTGGGACAACTTCAAGAGGCTCAACATTCGTATTATTGGGGTGCCAGAAGGAGAGGAAAGAGCAAGAAGTTGAAAACCTGTTTGAAGAAATAATGACAGAAAATTTCCGTTACCTGGAGAAAGAAATAGACTTACAAGTCCAGGAAGCACAGAGAGTCCCAAACAAGAGGAACCTAAAGAGGCCCACAGCAAGACACATCATAATTAAAATGCCAAAGGTTAAAGACAAAGAGAGAATCTTAAAAGCAGCAAGAGAAAAACAGTTACCTACAAGGGAGCACCCATACAACTGTCAGCTGATTTCTCAACAGAAACCTTGCAGGCCAGAAGGGAGCGGCAAGAAATATTCAAAGTGATGAAAAACATGGAACTACAACCAAGATTACTCTACCCAGCAAAGCTATCATTTAGAACTGAAGATCAGATAAAGAGCTTCTCAGATAAGAAAAAGCTAAAGGAGTTCATCACCACCAGACCAGCACTACAGGAAATGTTGAAGGGCCTTCTTTAAGAAGAAGCTAATGAACAAAAGAATCTGATGAGCTAAATAGATCCAGAGACAGGCAACAGACGATCATAATTCAGAGGAAAGAGGGAAGGGGGGTGGATGGTGGGAAGAGATTAACCAAAGAAGTTATACGCATAACCCATGGACACAGTCAATAACGGGGTGAAGGCCTGGGGAGGGGGTGGGAGCAAAGTGGAGGGGGTAAATTGGGGGGTAAAATGGTACACCTGTAATACTTTCAACAGTAAAGGTAAATTAAAAAAAACAAAACAAAAAAACCCCTGAGACCCTTCAGTACACGAGCTGATACTCCAACCAACTGAGCCGCACTGGCCAGGGTTGTAACCCTACCGTTGCCCCACCCTGTATTTTCAAGGATGGCTGTACAGTGAAGAGCCCCAGAAGGGAGACGGTGTCTCCCTCCAGAAGGGAAGGCAGGTTTGTTTGATATCCAGAATAATAAAGATAATGGCTCCCCCTAGGTCAAAGGTCAGACACTTGCTTCCACGCTGTTCATTGTTGTTTACAGCACTAAATCTCTAATGGATAAAATAAAAGTAAGTGTAAAACTGAATATCAAATTATAACACTGTAAGTTCTAAGACGCCATAATTTACTGCTACCTAGCAAACCCCGTAAGATCCCAGATGCTTCGTCTCTTTCTAGTCCAGTGAGCAAGAACCATGTCAGCAGCAGAACTTTCCCTTCCCATCGATTAAGATTCCAGTTAAAGAACTCCCACCCTCTTTCTGCTTTCACTTGCCCACCACTCTGAATTCTTAAAGGAAATTCTCTATGAGGTTGTTTTTTCCGGAACGTAGGTGTTGGATGATAACTCTGAGAATAAGTGATTTCTTGAAAGTTCATTCTGTGTAAATACCATCTATCTTTCCTGATGAATTTTTCCCAGGAAATGTATGGTCAGCTTTACTTCAGTCTAAGAACAACGTTAATTGTTCAAATGAGAAATTACAATATTCAAATACTTGCAATCAGCTCTTGGGAGAGGCAGTGGTGTACTTACATGTTTCAGCTGACCCACGACAGGGTCTTTTTTCGGTAGATGTAGAGGCAAAACCATATATAATTTATTAGTG